ATTTCTTTAGAGTTAAAGATTAAAGTAAATCATATTACATAGGGAAAATTGTCAAATCTCCAATATTTTTTGCAGAAAAAGCGAGTTGGAATATCAGCTGTGCATTTTCTAATTGCAAATTGATCAACAAATATATTTTAGGTTAAAGAACGATAGTTATCCATGTTTTTAGAGAAATTATCATGATTTTATACGTCATTGGTATTTTTTGTCTTGTATTTCCGTCCTGTATTCTATAATACATAGTGTAAAAGGCTTTTGCTATTATTGCAAGACACTAAAAATCACTTCTTATTATTATGCTAATAAGCATTGGTAGCTAAAGCTGTATTCAAGAAAATCTTATTTCTCTAAAACTGTATTAATTGTTTTCCTTTAAAAAGGGTACAAATGTCAACTTTTATAATACCTTTTCTAAGACTTCCAAAAACCTTGAAACTTATACAGATGAGTAAAATGAAAATTGTTGCATGAAAAGAATTCAATTTCAAGCTTCATTTTGATGCATTTCAAATTAAATATTAATTTCTGGAGTTATCCTTCCTGGCTGAGGATCGGATATCCTTAAAAAATTAAAATATACCTTTTCTCAACGAAAGAAGCATGCTCGTAGAGTATTGAATGAACTTTGTCAGGGTTCTAACAGCCACGAATGGACTCAAGACCCCTTAACATTGTGAGGAAAATTGAACTGAATCTGTTATAAATTTTTCTAGAGTTTTTCCTTCTTTAAGAAAACCTTGTGAAAATGACTGTTCTAAGATAGATAGTTATCAATATAAAAGCCAGGGGCCCGTTTTACAAAAGAACTTACGACTTAAGACTAAACTTAATTTTTCATATAACCTTTTAATTTACATTATATTGAAAAATATTGTAAACCTTTTAACAGGAATGTGGTAAGATATTTTTATACAAACAATTTCTCGGAGAATTATTAATCTTGCAAAATTTTACAATCATCTTTAGTTTTTTTTACAATCATCTTAAGTTCTTGGTCTTAGTGGTAAGTTCTTTTGTAAAACGGGCCCCTGGCAGAGCTCCTGATTCGAGCAAAGTTGGGGAGTAAGTTAGTGTATACGTACATTGTATATTACATTTGGCTGAGTAATCATTTTAGAGCCTTTAAAAGGCTAAAGCACAATCTAAATGTCTTGCATGTATAGTCATATCAAATATGAATTTCAAGAAATGTGCTAAATCTATTCCAAGCTAATTGTAACGTGAAGCGGTCACCCATCCAATGGTTAATCAGGCTCGCCTTTGATTAACTTGCCTGAAATAGAGGGAGACTCTACCGCATCACCAGACAAGAGGCCCAAGGGCCTTGAATTGCTCTTATGAAAAATTGTACAATCTATCACTTCTATTTGAAGCCTCTAACCCTAAGTATCCTAAGACCCAAGTTGCATCAACTGACAAAGTTTGATGATTCTTAGCCAATTAGGACTGAAGATATTTTTAATGATAAAGCTATAAAAACCCATAAGTACGTCACAGTGACCTACTTTAAGATTGAAGTTTTCTGAGGACTCAAGATGCATTAATAGACAAAGATTGAGGATTCTAAGCCAATAAGTATTTGAGATATTCAAAAATAGGTCACTGTGACCTACTTTTTTGTCTACATTCTTTGAAAACCCAAGATACATCAACTGACAAAGTTTGATGATTCTAAGCCAATAAGTACCTGAGATATTCAAAAGTAGGTCACCATGACCTACTTTTTGGTCGACATTCTCTGAAAACCAAAAATGCCCCAACTGACAAAGTTTAACAATTCTAGGTCAACCAGTACTTGAGATATGAAAATATAGCCATAAAATGTCAAAAGTAGGTCAAGGTGATGTAATTTTTGGTTTGCGATCCCCATGAAAACTCAAGATGCATCAACTGAAAAAGTTTGATGATTCTAAGCCGATGTGTACCTGATATACTTAAATGTACCCATAAAATGTCAAAAGTAGGTCATCATGACCTACTTTTTTGTCTACATCCTTGGAAAACCCAAAATGCATCTACTGACAAAGTTTGATTATTCTAAGCCAATAAGTACTCAAGATACTTAAATATAGCCATATAATGTCAAAAGTAGGTCACTGCGACCTAATTTTTTGTAGACCATTTTCAAAAACCCAAGATACATCAATAGACAAAGTTTAATGATTATATGCCAATAAGTACCTGAGATATTCAAAAGTAGGTCACCATGAACTACTTTTTGGTCGACATTCTCAAAAAACCCAAGATGCATCAACAAACAAAGCTTTATGATTCTAAACCAGTTAGTACCATAGATACTTAAATAAAGCCATTAAATATCAAAAATTAGGTCACTGTGACCTACTTTCTGAACATCATTCTCCGAAAACCCAAGATGCATCAACTGATGAAGTTTGATGATTCTAAGCCAATAAGTACTGTAGATACTTAAATAAAGCCATAAAATGTCAAAAGTAGGTCAAAGTGACCTACTATTTGGTCGTCACTCTCTGAAAACCTAAGACGCATCAACTCACAAATTTTGATGATTCTAACCCAATAAATACATAAGATACTTAAATAAAGCCTTAAAATGTCAAAAGTAGGTCACAGTGACCTACTTTTTCGACATCATTCTCCGAAAACCCAAGATGCATCAACTTACAAAGTTTGATGATTCTAAGCCAATAAGTACCGTAGAGACTTAAATAAAGCCATAAAATGTTAAATAAAGACAAAATGTCAAAAGTAGGTCACAGTGACCTACTTTTAAGTTGACGTTGTTCAAGGACCCAAGATGCATCAACTGACAAAGTTTGATGATCATAGGCCTTAAAGTGTCCAAAATATGCCTTCAAATCAACTTGAAAACAAATACCCACAAAATTTAAAAAGTAGGTCACCGTGACCTACTTTTGAGTTAACATGATGTGAAGTCCTAAGATGCATCAACTTACAAGATTTGATGATCCTAGTCCTAATAGTAAGCAAAATATAAACGTTTTTATTATTTGTAAATTTAGGTCAACTTTGAAGTGACCTTGAGACCACACCCTTTGCCCCAGGGTGATGCCTTAAACAATTTTTAATCTTCGACATATCCTGATCCTTGTATGTAAGTTTGGTGAAAATCTGCCCGGTGGTTCTGGAGAAGAAGATTTTTTAGCAACCAATACTTTTGGTTTTGTTTTCCTGATTATCTCCCCTTGTTTAAGGGTCCCAACCCTTTTTTTAGTACAAAGGGTAGCCCTTGGGCCAAGGATACCCTGTGACAAATTTGACACTGATTGGCCAAGGGGTTCTTGAGTTATGGCCCATATTCTATAAAGTTAACGCACACCGCACAAATGGCCATAGCATTAGCTCTTTGAGCCTTTGGCTCAGAAGAACTAAAAAGCTAGCTCACTAGCGAGGCAGTATAAGTTCCCTATATACTGTCCGCTACACTTCCCCCCGCTCAGGGAAGCTTCGACCCAAAGCTTAGCATGAGTTCTCTCTGAGTGTCTGGACCTCTTCAGTTACGGCAACCAATGCCGTTCCCGGACACGAAGTCCGTACCAGGACACAAAGTCCTAGTCTAAGAGCTCCCTGAAGCAGACCGGAACCTGACTTCAGATACTGCAACCCCTGCCGTTCACAGACACGAAGTCTGTAAATGGACACTAAGTCCTAGCTCTGAGACTTTCTGAAGCAAAACACTTGACACCGGAGTCACTACGCTCCCACCAATTTTGTAACGTGAAGCGGTCACCCATCCAAGAGTTAATCAGGCTCACCGTTGCTTAACTTGCCTGAAATAGAGGGAGACTCTACCGCATCACCAGCAAAAACAGCTCACTAGCGAGGCAGTATAAGTTCCCTATATACTGTCCGCTACACTAATGTTAAAAAATCAATTTTGGCCAAATAACATACACACTTATTATTAAATAAAAAATATTTATTGTTTTATTCATACATGTAACAATTTCTGGTAGATATTAAAGAAATGCCTTCATCACACTTGAATTTATATTAAATCATTGTCTATATATATACAAGCTATATTAAAGGAAATTTTAGAATTGGAATGATAGATAAGGTAAATATGCACCCCTTCCTGATACAGTCCTTTGTAGTGTGTTCTAGTGCAGTAGTACAGTGTACTGCTGATGTCATGAATAACAAAATTGTGTTCAAAAGACAACTGGGTAAATAACATTCAAAATATCAAAACTATATTGAAAATCTTATTTTTTAAACATTATATATTGCACTTTTTGGACACATTTAACTATGGTCCTATGTTGATTTTGTCCAGACATTTTCTTGATATGGCTACCTTTTGGCAACAGAGGATAATTGGTCCCTGATTTTACTAAGCCCATCTAACATTGTATCTAATGTCTCTTTAGAAAGTTCAACATTGACATTATTGATTTCTGGCACTCTACCAACTTCAGTTTGGTTTTCCTGAACCTAAAAAAAAATAGAAAACAAGTGACTGAATCTGATGGAGAAAACTGTATATCTCTTTGCAATGCAAATTTAACAGTTGATACAACTGAATTTCAGTATCTTGTATACCATGGGTATGTCAAAGCCATACTGATATCCCTTCCACCTTTCCTTGATTTATTTTACCCTCAGTATCTCAAACCTTTGGCTTCTTTTGAATTTGGTTCATTGAGTTCAAAATAATATTTAAGAACTTATTTTGATTAGCATATATATGTAATTCAAATAAAAGCGAACAATTTACAACTTGGCTCTCACACATGTTCCCCTGACCTGCACATGACAAAATAAACTTGGCACATACATAATGACTTTCAATGAACTCAAGAAAATCCAGAGGCCTGTTTAACAGAGCAAACTTTTCCAAGCACTTGCCAAAATTCCTTATACCTCCAACGGAAATATTTGTGAGTGCTCACTCTGTTAAACAGGCCTCTGGTCTAAAGAAATAGTACGGTATTTGATTCATGGTCTAATTTTGAACTTTCAGTATAATTTGTAAAATTAAATGTGTTTATAAAGTTTCAATATTTTTTAAAAGGGGTATGTCAGGTAATTATATAACAGATTAATGATTTTAACCTGATTTTATAATTAGTGAAAATAACTGTTCTAAAGGACATTTTTCATAGTTACATTAGATTTTTAAATATTTGACAAGAATAAGTTAACCTTGTAAGTTTCCATATTTTTTAGAAGTGGTATGTCAGGTAATTATAAAACAGATTAATGATTTTAACCTGATTTTATAATTAGTGAAAATAACTGTTCTAAAGGACATTTTTCAAAGTTACATTAGATTTTTAAATATTTGACAAGAATAAGTTAACCTTGTTGTGGCTCCTCCCTCCTGCCCCAGAGGATAATACGTTAAATAATCTTCAACCTAAATTACCTGAGGATGCTTCTGTATTAATATCCCTAATCATTGCATTGCTTTCTAAAGAAGAAATTTGTTTTTAAAATTTTCCAATATATGTATCCCTATTTATAGCTTTGATTCCCCCACCCCACCCTGGGCAGTCATGATTTAAACTTGAATCTACACTTTCAGTTTGAATGACACTTTCACATTCCTGGCAATATTCATTTTTTCTGGCCTAGTGGCTCTTGAGATTTTTTTAGTAATTTTTAAAGATGCAACTGATTAACTAAATTTCCCTTCATTCTTAATTATCTCCCCATAAAACAGAATGCAGCCATTCCTATGAAATAACTCAGAATTCCTTCATCATGGGATGCTTTGTGGCATTCTGGTTTAAATTGGTCCAGTGGTTCTGGAGAAGACTAAAATATGAAAACAGACAGACAGATGGACGCTGTTCTCATAAAACCTGGTGAGAAGCGTGCTATAAAACATTGACAAGAAAACACACACAGAATGACAAATTAATACCTTCATTTGTATGATACAGGTGGGAACAGACATTCTGCTGACAGAGTCTGAGGCCATTTTTGTGTCCACTCTCCAATCAAAGTCCATCAGTCGAGGCAATGATACTGCGAAATAACATAATCAAAGTTTGTATGCAAAATAACTTATCGCCTTTTGCCCTCGGGCTGATATTAGAGTCTTGAGTTGATATTGGGTGTGCATGATACAGATTTTGCCATGTATTACTTAGTATTCTCTACATACAGTGTACTTAATGACACGTTAATTTTCCTGTCATTAATATCTTTGATAAGTAAATACATCTATGTTTAACATATCTAATGTAAATTTATGTTCCACTGTACCTTGGTTACTAATAGAATGGTTTTTCCAGTTGTTCATGTTTTCCAGAGCAATTTTTGTAATCAAATCTCGAAGATTCTTGTGGAAGTCCTCTGAAATTAAAATTTTGGAAAATTTACATTAGCTAACAGAAGGCACAAACAAAACTTTTAAGTGACTGTAAATTTTTGAGGCTACAGTTTCAAAAGAGGTGTAACAGAAACCTGCACACAAGCTTTTGCATGGTCAATCAGAAATATCTATGGCCTACTCTACTGTATTTTACAATATAATCATATAAAACATGTTATTCATCTACATATCAGAATAAACAAAAGCAGTGTTCCAGCTAGGCGGAAATGGAAGGGCGCTCCTCTGCCCCTAACAGATGCCCTTGTTAAAGAGAATTTTTAGGAGAATTTAACATTTTATTAACCTATACCAACTAGCAGAAAAATTGTTTACGTGCATGCAGCTTTGAAATACATGTTCACCTTTAAACATTATTAGCAATATAAAATATGTATCAAACATGAAATATTGTGACAGAGAAAGCATTCTACAAATTAACAAGATAGATAAGTAAAGAAATGGTTTATAGCTGTTAAATATTTACAAGTAAATGAAAGTTATGAATTGTGCATATTGTGTAATTGTTAAAAATCTATTAAGTTATTCTAAAGTAATTTTGTTAATGAGATGAGTTTATTAATTCAAGGGTCCCTCTTACATACTGCTATCTTTAGGTGATAATAAATGCCCCAGCCATGAACTTACTTGGGAATAAGCTTTGTATTTCTTGTGCTTCTGAGTATCCATGAAATATTATAGTTTTTAGGAGCGACGAGAGGGATTCCAACATCTGAAATATATAACTGAGAGTTACATTGTATGTACTTGTCAAAACTCTCAAGTTATGCACCAGAAATGGCTATTGTACAGGAAGTCTTAGTTGTATGTTCTATAGTTATTCTCCTTCAATTCTTTTAATTTTGCGTGTGTTTTTTTTTAAATACAGTGTATGTACATAATTATATTTTTTTCTCTAAAATATTTATTTTATCAGCTGGACCATTTATATACTGCACACAACTGAGTTCTATTGTAATACCCTTAAGCAATTGGATACAAGTATGTATGAATACAGGTACAGTTCGATGTGATTAAATTTCACACAAACAAGAATCAACATTAATTTAGTTACATGCAATAAAGAACAAAGTACGGTATCGGCCAAAAAATGCCGCTTGTCAGACCTGCTCGGTACAAAACATTTTAAAAAGCTTAGAATTTGTAGAATTAAATGATATATAATTTATATACCTGACTTAAAAGTATGCATTGGAAAAATAACGCTCAATACTGTACCTTTTATAGCAGAACGTCGAGATTTTACGAAGAATTTTGACGCGACGTCATACATTTAACGTGTACAATAAGCGAAATCTGAAAATTTCAACTTATTCGCTAGGACACAGTTTTTATTATATATCGAAGAAATTAAGTTGTTGATTCAAAAATACTCTCTCGTGGATATTTACTTTCATTTTATTGCAGGTCTCACTGTCAATAAAAATAATATCAGCTATTTCTGTAAAATTAATTGAGAAAAATCTAGTGAAAATTATGTACTGATGGAAAAATTCGAGTGTCCCGGGCTGTCCTTAGTACCAAAAAAGTTCACTTCTCAAAAATATGGAAAGTAAGGTGTACAAACAGTTGAAAAAAAACTCGATTGTCAATAAAATTAATATTCATATCTATTGGAACAATAGCGTGGAAGACTATGATTATTTAATGTACGTATATACAGGAGAATTCCTTCTTCTAATGGTCAATTTTGCTAATAAATAAAGATATTAAAACATATTTAAAGAAGAAAACGAGAAATTTCGATCTTGATTTAAAAAAAAGTATCAGCCTAGTAAACTGTTAATTATATAATGGGTACATGAAAACTGATTGTTTTCTGTGATATATTCATTTATACCTTCTTGGTGACAGAGGAACACTTGAAATTTAAATGCCCCCCCCCCTTCCCTCCATTATGAGTTGAATGAGTTCATATATAATTTATAAATGCATTACAATATATTTTGGTTTTAATAGGACTGTAAAATTATATTTAATAAGACTGAAAATGAATTATGTATCAGTAAATGTTGTGAAATTTTGTTTGGAAGGGGGATTGGAGGGGGGGGGAGGGAGGTATACATGTAAATCAAACTTTCGGTTCAGGCTGAATATCATAACAGCAGGTATTCTTTTAATTCGCTTAAAAAAAGTTATAAGACCTGTTCGGAAACTATTATTGATTTACTATTTAGCTGACTACTTGATAATGATTTATGCAATTTTTTTCTTAATTTATAGTCAAAGTGAAACTTAAGATATTGAAAATGTTCGCGTTTTCTGTATTTAGTACAGTGTTCGCATATTTTATTAGGTTTAAAATGTTTAAGTTGCTGGTGACACTTTTTTTGTTGTTTTTATTTTTCGCAAAAATTCCTTGCTTGGTAGAGAATGTAGCATTAAAAAAATAGATCACAGCTTCCTTGTATCTTCATTTTTCTGACAATTGAAAATGTTGTATGTATGATTCTCACAGTCAACGAAAAGAATCTGGAGGGCTAATGTACAATACAATACAGACGAGTATTTCCTGTATTTAAAGAATATACTAAACATGTTATATATGTATTGGTCCATGAGAGGTCATTTTAGAAGGGGGATGGGCACAACTGAAAAAAAAAATGCTTTAGAAAATTTAGTAGTCCCTATCCCCAAACATACCTTTTCTTAATTTTAAGGAATTAATGTAATACGTATACAGTGAGCAAAAAAAAAAAACACCAACTATCTGCATTCCCCTTCCTGGGAAGCACAGGCCTTTCATAAATGGCCCATGAACCCCCCCCCCCCCGGGCCATAATTAGGTATTTCCCTCTCTGAGAGTGTTGAAACTTTTAATTGTCGAAAAAAAAATTGAGTTGCGAGCTTTTCTTTCAGAAGTAGCAGATTGGATTTCCTTATTTTACATGTAATTCCTTTGTATGTCCCAATTCACGCTATACCGTTTTCTATCATAGAAAATGCATAATGTTATTAAGTGGTGGCATTTTATCATACATAAAAACATGTACCAATATTTGGTAAAGATAGTGGAAGTATAATAAGTAAATATGACTTTTTCTACGTACATGAACTTCGTGATCACAAATTAAGGAATGTGACTGTGTATGCTATTGGACATTACGGATATACTAGTACCTGGATTTAGAATTTGAAATACCCGTATCTGTGTACATCAATCCAAAACACTTATTTTATAGCTGACAACTTGCAAACACGATCTGCTTTCCTTCGTAACAAAGATTCGGGAGGGTTTTGTAAGACTTTTTTGGTTTCATCAGTATGACTCTCTACTAATCTGAATATCCAAGGATGAAGGGCAGGGAAGCTTTTAGCTTGATCAGAAAAGTCAAAAGCTGCTGGATGTCGCTGACCATTGTAAGATTTTCAGAATTCCACTAGAATGGGTACAAGTCTTTCTTTTTTTTTTTTTTTTTTTTTTTTACCGAATTAGCATCCCCCTTTCTGGATGTTGCTAAAATGCGGAACCAAACGGAAAATATGATTTCAGCTAGATTAAATCCATTAAATTACTCAAATTTTATCATAAACGGTATATCTTATGCATATTTAATCCCTCATTATTAAATACAAGTTGATTTAATTATGTCCTGTCTCTTATTCACGAAAATCGCCGACATAGCAGTGACGTACGCAAGTATTTTGCTTTTGAAAGGGGGCGGGGGTAGAATAAAATAAACTTACCCCCCTGAAAGATCTTGACAAGCGGTTTGATTTGGAAGGGGGATTAATCAAGTTCAAACTAATCTTCTCTCAGTACATTTTTTTTACACAACTTACAACTTTAGTCTGCCCGAAGTTCGTATACCGTGCACGGATGTCTCGGAGAAATTGGCACTCGGAAAAGTCAACATATTTTTAAGTGTTCTTTTACTTTTAGCAAAACTATACATTCCATATATAGAAATAGACAACATCTGAACCCTCTGAGAGTCTATTCTTTCATGTAAAGTGACAAGTTTACTTAAAACTATTATGAAACAATAAGCCTACATGATTACAAAAATTGACCGTATTTTAATTCATAAATGAGTAAATACTCGTTTCTTCGAAGATTTCGTTTGTTTAATTTTTCCCTTCCTCACTGATAGGTTTTGAAGTTTATAGGTGACATCAAACGTACAATTACTTCCAGTCAGCCTTAATCACATTAACAAAAAGTATGTGTAGGGCAAGGGGGGGGGTGTCAATGACAATTATTGAGTTAAAAGCTTATACAGTGTCTGAAAAAAAAGTGGGGGCAAAATTTTGATATCTAAATGATCCATGGTGAGAGAACTAAATTCTAAAAAAAAATATATGAAGATTATGATTAGAGGCAACCATAACAGGATAACTTTGCTACACACCTGGAATGGAACAATCCAAAATATACATAAGATTTAATAAATCAATTTTTGGTTTGGTTGTGGGCCCCTGCCCTGACCCCAAACTGCCCCCCTTTCTACAAGATTCCTGGATTCTTCACTACATACATGTACATGTATGCATGAGCTGAATGTCAAACATATGTTTTTACAGATACATGTACATGTATACACACACCAGTAGCCTTCTTCCTTCCGCTTTCTTCAAAACTATATTTCTTTTTATGAACGTGCTTTAAAAAAAAAAATAGATAAATTTTCATTATATGACTTTTATATCAAGAAAATTGCTTTTTGTGTGATTTATTTAGAATCTAGCATATTTGCTTGAAACTAATTTTCCGTTCCGTTTTCCGTTCCGAGTTTTAGCAAAACCAACCCCCCACCCCCATCCTTCCCGATCTACCACTGGCTTCAAAATATAAATTCGTGTAAACATGTTATCTAATGGATGATGCTGCATGAAATATTTGCCAAAAAAAAAATTACATGTAATAAAATAAACATTTGTATAATTTTTATGTGCTATTTTGGACTAATAATGCATACTATCTACATGTATATCGTGTTCGGAAACATTTTTACTTGTATTGTTGAACTGCTATCAACTACTGCAGATTTATTATTATCATGAATATTATAATATTTATTTTTCACAATAAACGGCTTTAAAACATATTAAATGTTGGACCATACTTTTAATGTTACCGTATTTGATGCATATACATTTTATTGTATTTTTATGGTTGTCATATTATTGTTCGGAGGACACACTATTTAGTAAAACTACATACACATGTACATTGAGAAAGACTCGTAGAAAATAGAATGATACTGAGGTATTTCGGATTTTTTAAATTAATCTTTTAATAAATTAAAAAAAAAATCATTGTGCTATTTTTGTGGAATGAATTGAGGTCTAGGATATTTTAGTACTGTTGTTCAATACTACATGCACAACCAACGGACACTATAGTCTATACACTTGTGCAGATGATGTACAAATAGCATAAGTACAAGCGGCATCTTTAGGTACCATTTATTCTTTGTTTTCAAAATATTTTATTCATATTCATAAGTATTAATAGTTTACGATATTCAGTGATGGTACTTAAAATCAGAAAATCTCATTCTGTATCAATTATGCGTCATTAATATCGATATCAGGAAAATTGTGTCGGTAAAATATCTTTTTTCCGTATGTTAACTTTTGCAAAATTCATATTGATCACAGGTGACAACCAACACTATTTTAATAGTGTAACTGCGATATGTAATGATGAAGTTATATGCGGAGTATAAAAGTGGTTGTTGCATGTGAAAGGGTCTAATTTCAGCAAAGATTACTCATTTTTCAATATAATTTAACGATTTTACACGACCATTCCATGTTTAGCGCGCATTAGTGACGTCATAATTAAAAATTACGTCATTTTTGTGCCTGTAGAATTTAGTTCGCATCCTCCTTACTTCAAAGCATAACATAAAAAAATTGTACAAAGAAGATTAAAATATCGTATTATTTTCGGCGAATTACTGCTAATACCGTACTTTGTTCTTTTATCAAGGGCGATAACCCAAATAACATCGCAAATATAACAGAGTTATGGTTCCTTCCTATTACACCACTCACCATACTTGATTCTGAATTTCTTTAAAAAACATTTCCATTAGTGTCCTTTAATGGATCCTTAATTTAAATTAATAAATTAAAAGTATCAGTATTCTAGAAAATAACATTTGTTGCATAATGAAAACAGGTTGAATGAGTATCACCTATCTTTTTCAATTAAAGAATGTGTCATAATGATTATTTCCACCTTATGCTAATTTTCTCCATCTAAAAAGTCACAGCAATTTTGATGTACACTGTTGTGTACCATTGATTGTCACATTACCTAACATATCTTTCTACTCTGCTAAGTGCATACAGGGAATATAGCGTCAAAAAGAGTTAAGCTTTACTTTTTTCCTTTCTTAACTATTTCATAAAGTTGCATAATACATGCACATGTTCATCGTACAATAAAACACTGTGTAATTCTGACTATGTTTCTCTTTCTCAGACTTCAGAATTTTGAAAAGATTATGTTATACAATTTTGTTCAACAATGAAAGGGAAAAAACACAATTAAACATATTAAATATAGTTACTTATAAATGACACTTAAGTTTGCAGGTTAGAGGTATCATATCTGTCAAATAATAAAACAACAAGTTGTTTTTTTCCCGAACCTGTTTTGTTTGATTTGGACGGGTTCCTAAAACATCACATACACGAGACACCAGTACATCTGTGTAGGGGGGACTAGCCAGGTAAATGTCGTTACAGATCTTGACCACTTGGTCCTTGGATGAAGCCTGGAAAACAACAGAAATTAAGCACCTTCTGACTACTGTAGATTGCATCAGAACCATAAAATTAATATACATGTACTTCTAATTCAACTGAGAAATGTAACATCTCAAATGGGTAAATTTCCTTACTCAAATATCTTATTCCCCATTTTCAAAAGGTGAGTTATTTCCCCTGAAGGGAACTCTTTTACTGTGTTTAATACGCATGCGCTATAAATAAAGTCACTTCCGCGGACGTTCTTGATGTAAACATGTTTATGGTGTAATGCCTCAGTCAAATGGAAAAATGTTATTATGTTTGTGAATAAAAAGAAATCTTAACCGATTCGTATTTTTTTAAATTGCCCACTCATAGTCTCTTTCTGGATTTGTATTAATCTGTGTAGTACTATAATAAGGTGCTGTGTGACCCCCCCCCCCCCCTTACAAAAAAAAAAAAACAAAAACGAAACAAATTACTGATAAAATGCCGATACATATTCGAATAGGCCTATTTAAAAAAAAAGCTAATAAGCTAATTTTCTGTAGTGGATGTTCTGCAGACGGATCATCATTATTAACAAAATGTGCGGAACAAATTTTAGTTATAAAGTTTTTACGAAATAATCTAGCCTGCTGCAGCCATATTTTCTTTGTATCTCTAGGAATTTTTTGGAGACTGATGACATGTCCATCTACAGTTTTACCTCTGAAATTGCCGCATATACAGCAGTAGTTCGTTTTCTGCGACCGATACCAAGAAACTGCGTTTTTGCTCGATTGTATGTCATAAAATAGAACTTTTACTTACAAGAACACATTTGGTGACAATTAAAGGCCTATTTCATTTGAATTAACAGTGTTTCTAGAATTTTTAATTTGTAAAATAATTGATTGACTATATAGTATTAAAACTTTGAATGGAATTCTAAATGAATAATTTAATCTCATATCCTCATGTAACGAAGAAAGAGTAATTAAAATAGCATTGACCTGAATCCGTGTTACATGTATATGTCGTATAAAGTCTGAGCTGCATTTAATCAAAGTTTTAGTGTAGGATCTAAGCATATGGACATGTATATTTCCGAGTAAAATACACATCTTGTTTAAGATCAGAGAATTGAGAGCAGAAACACGAAATTGATACAATAATTTCCTAGCGTATTTCTCGTTTATTAACGGAAAACATTCTTTTCTCAAGTGTTATTTACTTTTTTTAAAATCCTTTCAGTGTAAGTACATGTATTTATTTTTATAAGTTATTCTTTTTTGCAAAGTGTGTAAAAAACAATATCAGAGAGAAAGAGAAAGAGAGAGAGAGACTCATGTAACCCCGTGTAACTGACATACATGTACATCTGTGAAAAAATATATGTACCGTAATTTTATTGAATTCACAAATAATAATTCTAATAATTTTCAATTTTCACAACTATGGTTCATATTCAACTGTTCAACCCATTTACATAATTATTCGTTCTCTGTACCTGTACGCACGGGGGGGTGGGGGGGTGTCAAGGGGCTTAGCCCCACCCCCACTTTTTTCCCCAATATTACTTTTTCTATTGAAAATGTTCATTGATAGACAGGTTGCCAACCCCCCCCCCCCCCCCCCCCAACACACACAGTTAATACTACGGCAAAGTTTTATAAGGCAAATGTAGTATTGTATGCCAAGGAACTGGTACTGAAATAAGTAGCTTTTTCAACTTTGGGCAAGGTTTTTCTTTGCTTGCCAACTTTTCAAGGTAAGAAAAAATGTTTCTTTGCCTACCCCCCCCCCTTTTAAAGACGATGCTACGTGCCTGGCTAATTCGTATAGCTTTCTAGAAAGGGGGGGGCTAACAGACCTTTTATAAAATAATTTATTATCTAAAAAAAAAATACAAACCGTTTCCTTCTTTTAAAATTTTTAAATACAGCGCGTAAGTTTATCACTATTTTGTTAGATTATCGTATTGCGTAGTCCGCGGAAGTTAGGCTAGTGTAGAAGAGTTCCGATTTTGAGGGGAGATAACTCACTTTTGAGAATGGGGAATAGAACATTGATATTTTTAGTACATGTATCAATTTCAGTAAATATTGCATATAAATGTGGCAGCATTAGATTATAGGTGTTTAATAAATTGATTTTCCTTTTAGTATTTTGTTCACAATCACATGCTATCAAATTTTAATTTTAGGGCTGAAAATATTCCACTTTAAGCACTGGAATCAGCTTAACTGACCTTATTCATTATCCTTTCTCTTAAAATTCATAAGTAAAATAAATGCCAACACTTCACGGTCAAGGGGCTTAGCCCCACCCCCACTTTTTTCCCCCAATATTACTTTTTCTATTGAAAATGTTCATTGATAGACAGGTTGCCAACCCCCCCCCCCCACACACACACACAGTTAATACTACGGCAAAGTTTTATAAGGCAAATGTAGTATTGTATGCCAAGGAACTGGTACTGAAATAAGTAGCTTTTTCAACTTTGGGCAAGGTTTTTCTTTGCTTGCCAACTTTTCAAGGTAAGAAAAAATGTTTCTTTGCCTACCCCCCCCCCTTTTAAAGACGATGATACGTGCCTGGCTAATTCGTATAGCTTTCTAGAAAGGGGGGCTAACAGACCCTTTATAAAATAATTTATTATCTAAAAAAAAAATACAAACCGTTTCCTTCTTTTAAAATTTTTAAATACAGCGCGTAAGTTTATCACTATTTTGTTAGATTATCGTATTGCGTAGTCCGCGGAAGTTAGGCTAGTGTAGAAGAGTTCCGATTTTGAGAGGAGATAACTCACTTTTGAAAATGGGGAATAGAACATTGATATTTTTAGTACATGTATCAATTTCAGTAAATATTGTATATAAATGTGGCAGCATTAGATTATAGGTGTTTAATAAATTGATTTTCCTTTTAGTATTTTGTTCACAATCACATGCTATCAAATTTTAATTTTAGGGCTGAAAATATTCCACTTTAAGCACTGGAATCAGCTTAACTGACCTTATTCATTATCCTTTCTCTTAAAATTCATAAGTAAAATAAATGCCAACACTTCACGGTGAAAAAGCATTAATTATTGGTGAAATAAAACCTGCTAAAAACACAAGACGTCAATTATCAGTCTGCTAACCATTTCCATAGCAACTTGTTGTTTGAGATCTGAAATCTAGCTTCAAATATAGTCAGTAAAATATTCAATGACCAGAAAAAAAATACATGTGGAATTCAATTGTCTATATGTCCATGTAAATATAACACTTCAGCAAAATTTATCTGGTGGGGCAAACAATAAAAAAATGATTTAAAATGATTTGTTTGATGTACTTCAATCAACCCATCAAAATCGCCCTTACCTGTCTGTTTTCAGTACTTATTTTTTTTCCAGGGGGTAGGGAGTGGGAGTGAACTATTTTACAAATTCACTCTCATTCTGAAGATGTTTGCCCTAATTAAATATTTTCTTGTTTTATTTACAGCTGGATATGCTCTAGCACATACAAAACTGTTTTAACATTTAAATGTCCCTACAATACTTTCTTCATCAATGTTTTGATCAGAGTTGCTGATCTCGCATTTACTGGGATGATCATTGTCATCAGATACATCAAACACCAAAAGGAAATTCAAAATGTTAAAACTCACACTTAAAAAGAAATTTAGAATCAATGTAATTTGAGGTTAGAAAATTTGCCTTGATGATTTCAAAAAATATTCTAAGTGATGTATGCTTAGCAGCTAAAAACAAAAGAAAATGAGATGATTTTCAAAATTGATTGGAAAATAATGGAAATTGGACCAAAATTAACCAATCACCTCCCAATAAATTTTTGTTAAAAGATGATTTGTAATTATACTGGTACATGTAGATATATAGTGTAAGACTCATAATGGGGATTGTAGATATGAGACAACTCTTCAGACTTTCACAAATTTTCTCATTTTAGCTCTGTAAGGCTTTAAAAAAAATAAGTTTGTTTCCTGTAACATTCCCAAAAACTCAAGGGTCGGTAGGTCGGAAATTCTTTTTTTTTTTTTTTTTTTTTTTTTTTTGCTTATGAATGGTCAAACATCCCCGGACCGAAAAAACCAGGTGTTATATTTACAGTGGACACCCAATATGGCATCCGAAATGGCTGCCAAATGGCAGAAAACGAACTTCAGAAAGTTGTAGGGGAAAACTGTTGTTACAATAACGATTACTCTTTATATTTAAGGTAAATGTACACTAAGTTGACATATTTTATGTCTCAAATTAAGCTACAAGCTATTTTTTTAAATTTAATAAATGGAATCAGCTGATTGATCAAACAAAGTTTTGGCATTTGTCAGGAAAAAAAATCCACCCGGGGATAATTTGAATGGGTCGGTCGGGTTACAGGAAACAAACATATTTTTTTTTTAGGCCTAAGCATGGTAAATGCATATGCTTGATATTCACATCCTAATTTTTCATGTTGTACGTTGCACAATTATAGTAATTGACAAATAACTCAAACTTTAAAACTCTATTGAAATTACAAGAAGTGTGAAAATTAAGAAAAATTCAGAACTGACATGCATCTGTAACAAACACAAAACGTGAATAAAACGGTTAAACCTACAAGATGCTTTTGTAAAATCTTCATTCAATTCAGTCTAAGAGTACTTTCTGTATTACAAATGCAGTAAGCAGGTGGTAAGAAGGATTTCTTATAAACATAATTCTTTAAGAAACTAACTCTTCTCACCCCCCTCCCTTCACTTATTATCTGGTATCCACCCCATCCCCACCATCACAAAACAAAGATTTTTTGATCTGATCTGAAAAAAAAAATATCCTTTAAATATACCTCCAATATCTATAACAAGTCATGAATTCAGCACCTTGGTTTATGTTTTCAATGTTATCTAGGAACATGTAAATTCTAGCTGTAAATAGGTTGGTTAAAAAACGCTGCTTATTCAACTTTAAGTTTCTATGTACAAGGTAAAATTTAAAATAACAAATTAAAGCCTTAGTAAACAATTTCATCAATTAATTGCAATTCAACAAAATTACATTGAAAGTTCATTAGTTGCCATCTTCTTTTTCTAAATGCAATAAATCTCATGTAGATCTATTGTATGTCATCTATAAGATATAGCATTTTTATCTATTCCATAACACAGTTAACTAGTCAATGACAAAGCAAAGACTTCTAAAATTCTCATGCAAGCTGTGCAGTCCTGAAGTAAAAAAAATCTGCAACCACCCCACCTATCCCCTAAAAGTTGTATAGTCAGAATAAGTGATTTTTCTGGGCATTGCTAACTGTTCATTTTTATGGGAAATGATTGCAAATGACTTAGGGGTGTACACCTGAGCCTAAGGGTGTTGATAACATGCAACTTGAGCGACATGTTCTATAAGATCAAGAAAAATTATGCCTTGCAGTCTCCTACATTCAAATAAAATTCTAAATAAATTGTTACGAAATTAAGTAATTCTAAAGAGCAAGATAAACCTTCATTAGAAGTTCAAGAGCAGCAAAATCACAGTGGGCTGCCATTTTGACAATCACGTGCTTCTAAAAATTCCTCATTTAAAAATAGCGAAACCCATTCGTCCAATCAGTCATGCAGGTAAATACACGTGATCAAAAGCGATTTTTTCATTTCAGCCAATTAGATCAAAGTAAGTATCACGTGGTTTAAAACAACGCCAGCAATCCGGCGGGAAGTTTGGTCGTCTGCGTACCCATATTACCTCAGCATTTTGTAAATAAAGACACGAGTTAAAAAACATACCATAATGCCAGGAGAAAAGTAAGTATTTGATCCAATTTAACATTATTTACCATGATTTTTTCACTTATTGCTACGAAAGAGGCGATGTTCCATTCAATTTTTGTAGGTTTATTGGAAAACATGCCGGTTTTGCATGGTTTTCCTTTGTCTTCCTTGTCGGCTTCTTTGTTCTCGCTCTCAGATTTAGATGAAAGTGAGATCGGATTAAAAGTAAATTATTGTAATATGTTAAAGTAATGGTAAATCATTGTCAATGACGATGTGTAATAAACTAAAAGTAAAATGCATGATGATAAATATGTTAATGAGGCCAGATGAGTAATTTATGAAGAAAATGTAGGCGATGCCCGCCATTATCGGTTTCGCTTTACGATTCGCTCAAGACACGGATGCAATTTAAAACCCACATGCGTTAGATCCAGATAAGCGCATTGTGAAACAAAGTGAACATACCTTTATTGACTGTTAGGGAAGTTCAAGGCGATGGAAATGAAATTTAAAAATTAGGTTAAGGAAGTTGGTATACAGTAGAAGACCCCATGTGCAATAAAACTTATTTTTTTTAAGTGTACAGAGGAAATGTTGTGTTGTAAATCTACTGTAGTGATGCATTCAAATATTATGCATGAAGTTTTTTTTTGCAAAAAAAAATTCTTTTTGAACATCTGAATGGTTTGTGTTGTATTTTTAGGGAAACTACAACTGAGGAAGTTCAGGCTTCTGAAACCACAGAGACTAAAACAAAGGAAGTCAAAGAAGTAGAAAAAACGGACGAGAAAGAAGAGGTAAGGTTCAACTAAGTTATCGACATCAACAGGGATCACTCTGGATTTTAATGTTGATGGGCCAATGGCCCATCAACAGTAAGATCCATGGGCCATACGCCGGGGGTAGGGGGGCCGCGTTAGGCCCCCATTGGGGTCCAGGGGCAACGCCCCGGTAGGGGGTCCAGGGGGGCGAAGCCCCCCGGGAAAAATTGATTTTCCATGCTATTTTGTGATGAATTTCAAGTAAATATGATGGGTCTTTGAGGGTTTTTAAATGCCATTTCTGACACAACCAATTTAATATTTTTTAAAATAAAATGAATTATTTTATAAATATAAAAGATTTTTTTTTCAATTTCATCTCAGTACTGAAAAATGTCATATTGGAGAGTTAATTCCTCGCCCCTTGGATTTTATCGATTTAGTTCTCGAAGGTTTTTGAAGAGCTAAACTATAAAGGATGCAAACTTACATGTACATTTCTCTACTGAATAGACCTGGGGCAGTTGCAGATTAAATTTGGTTCAAATGGTAGGGACTGGTTTTGTATGAAAAGAACTCGGAGCAAAATACGCAAAAAACTTAAATGAGAAATTTTTATTTGTTTGCAAAACATTTTAGTCCCATCTGATCAAATTCCAACCACGGATGCAAAGTTAGCCACTTGGACTGGAAATGACGACCATCGTTGCCGTTGACATCAGGAGTCAACGTCTTTGACTGTTCTTCTTAATCAGAGACCTCTGCCGAGTCTGGGAATTAAAAAGTTTCCGTCGTTTTATTTGTAAAACAAACGAAAGCTTTCGTTGTTTTGGGTCAGTTGGCCCAATACCGATCTTCGCTTTGGAGGCATTTCGGGCAAGTGTCTGGGATACACAATGAGTAACTTGTACTTGTTTTGTTTCGAAATAAATAATCAAAGTTTTAAGAAATATTATTAGGACATATTACTTAATGGAGTATTACTTTCATATGTTTATTATTGAAATCATTACATATTATTTTAATAAATATAATTGACTCAGTATTCGGTAAAAAATTTTTAGTAGCGTAATCTAAACGAAGGCAATATTCCATGTACAACTCCGATTTTAGTCTTGATCAACCAGACGCTCTGCTTGTGTAAAGAACATACGCGACTATAAAGAGTCTGATTGAACGAAGTAACAGTATGCTCAGACTAAAATGCACCAAGATATGAGTTTTGACCCCCAGTTTTGCATCTCATAGCGCCATATCTGTAAGACATGCGCCAGACTGACCCCTTTCTATTTTTTTAGTGCGCCATTTACAAATATTGAGCGCCAATGGCGCAAAGGCGCAGCCCAAAGTGATCCCTGCATCAAGCATTAGTGTTTAAAATCGTGAAACAAACGATTTTTGTATTGTTTGTGAAAAGAAAAATCCTCAAAAGGGGGAGAGATTGAAATTTATACAATGTGAATTGTACTGAAGGATAAATTGATGTTTCAGACAAAAGAAGAAAAGACAGAGGAGAAAACTGAAGATACTGAAGATACAAAGACAGAATCAGAGGAGAAGACAGATGAAAATGGTGAAAAGAAAGAAGACTCAAATCAAAATGCAAATACAGGTAAGTTTCTTTGTTGCCAGCCTTTTTTGAAAGCGTGTCAGTGTACAACATAGGAAGTTGGGGAAGGAACTTTCTGGAGGTGATGAGGGACATTGAAAAGATATGCAAGATAGCAAATGCAATGCAAAGTAGCAATCAGGGGTCAGCAAATTGGGTAAATCAATTAATTTTGTGGAAAAGAGAAAGTGGGGGGGGGCAATTTGTAAAGTCTTGACAGAGTGAAGCACTGAAATAAGACATGGAATGGGGGGGTGAATATGAAACAAGAACAGTAATTGAAGTAAAGTTTAGTTTTATAACAGTATTCAATCAATATATCAAACTGATAAAGAAATGTTGCTTAGGCTTAAAAAAAAAAAAAAAAGTTTGTTTCCTGTAATATTCCCAAAAAATCAAGGGTCGGTAGGTCGGAAATTCTTTTTTTTTTTTTTTTGGCTTATGAATGGTCAAACATACCCGGACCGAAAATACCAGGTGTTATATTTACAGTGGACACCCAACATGGCATCCAAAATGGATGCCAAGCGGCAGAAAACGAACTTCAGAAAGTTGTAGGGGGAAACTGTTGTTACAATAATGATTACTCTTTATATTTAAGGTAAATGTACACTAAGTTGACATATTTTATGTCTCAAATTAAGCTACAAGCAATTTTTTTAATTTAATAAATGGAATCAGCTGATTGATCAAACGAAGTTTTGCCATTTGTCAGGAAAAAAAAAATCCACCGGGGATAATTTGAATGGGTCGGTCGGGTTACAGGAAACAAACATTTTTTTTTTAGGCCTTAGGGATCAAAATTCAAATTTGAAAATGCACATTTTATATACAGCTAGGCTTTATAGGCATCTGAGTTTGGGCAAATGTTTTGAAATAAAGTATAACTGGGATACAAATTCATGATATCACTTTCTAACGTACAAAACAATGTATGATGTACAATGATATTTAATAATTATAGATGAGACCTCGGAAAAGAGAACTTCAGAAGAGGATTCAGAGGAGGCCAGTCCGACCAAAAAAGTGAAAAAAGACGAGGCAGCAGAAGGTGAACAGCCGCAAGTGGAGGCAGCATCAGCCTAGATCTCTTCATTACATTTCATTTCATCTGAACTGTATCAAATCATGTTTTTATATGTTGTCTTGTATTTTTAAGATCATACCCATGTTATACTTATTTAAGGATCAAGTGGAAGGACAGTAATTGTTTCAACATTTTTACGTTGGTGTTAATGACAGTAAATATAGTCTAGTTATGGTATTCCTGTCTTGTTTTGATTGGTTAAATGGAAATTTAATGGTTGATGATGATTTTATAAGAAGTTGACATCAGGCCATCTTAAAAAGAAGTGTTTGATTGACCTCTCAACAGACTATAAATAACCCCACTTGCTTTTTTACATTCAAGGACACGATCTTTTTTCCTTTGTTAATTATATTGTCTTCTCAACAAATGTTGAATTTTCAGGGGGGAAAAGGTACATCCACCTACCTACATACCCAATTTAAAAAAAAAAAAGCTTGAATTGGGAAGGACAAACAATCATTTTAAAGATGGCCTTGATAAATTCTCTTAGTGACAGAGATTATTTTAAATGAAAGATAATTGGTAATCTTCAAAAGCTATACTTGCAGAACTTAACATTTTATGTATTTGAACTCCAGTGATCCCATAATGCAAAACTTGTACAAATTACGGCGCAAATTTTTCTGCGCACAGTAAGCAGTGGTTAAGGATTTCTCCACTTTCCAGCATTGTTGAATAAACTAACTTTCACTTCCTGATTTTAAACATTTTTAATCAACCTGTTTGCTTTATCCACCTCCTTTAATACCCTTTATAACTCTCTATAGGCATGTATTGAATTATCTGCCATTCGACAACAAATTCACAACAAGCGAGATTATTGGTCTGTAGTGGCAGCTATAAAGAGCTGTAAGGTAGATGAAATATACAGAATAGTTGAAAAATATGAATAATAAAAAAAAAAAAAAAAAAAAAAAATGGAAAATGAAAGGTAGTTTTCTAAACAATGCTGGAATGTGGAATAATGGACGAATTTCACATTCCTAAGAGTTGTCACCCGTTGTAGGCGTAACGCTCATTTTCCCCACTTTGTCCTTTGTAAGATAAAGCTCTGTTTACGTTATCGGTACTTGCGATCTGTACCTGTATTGTCAGAGTATGGGGCAACATGAAAAACACAATGAACATATTCATACAGATTCTTTTTCCAAGATACAGACCCATAAAGTTGGTAAGGTTATAGCAGATACTCTTGTACATGCCTCTGCAGGTTATAGAGGGATAACGATGCCTTACGCCGGTTGACCCCGCAAAGGGGGAATAACTTTTGTGAATGTGAAAGTCGTCTGTCCTTTCCGAACGTGCGCAGAAAACCTTGCGCTGTAAATTGCACAATTTGTGCATTACGGGATCTTTAGCGTTGTGGTCAAAGACGAATATATAAAACCATAACGCTACAGTTCTGCAGCTATTCTAAAGCTGAAGAAGGGGGCTGTCCAGCAGTAAAATATTGCTGATATTAAAAAAAAAAAAGGAAATGGATTTTGATAACTTTATTTTTTGCCCTTCAGAACTGTCAGAAGAATTGATGTAAATTTTTCACATATCCAGAACAACTGGGCTTAGCTGAGAGATTTGAAGAGATTAAAGAATTTGGTCTGGTGTCTCTACCAGTCTTGGACTGCGATTTAGGAAATCTTGCCCGGATTTAAACTTCTTCAAGTGTAGACTCTGAATTATTTTAGCCTTGACCCCTAGGGAATAGGGCAGGGCCACAATATACATGTATATAGGGAATCAAAGTTTTTCATTGAATTAATTAATATATAGGAAAAATATTCTCCCCAAGAACCACTGGGTCAGTAAAACTGAAACTTACGTGGAGGTATGCTGTAGTCGTGTCAAGATAATTAAATCATTAAAATAAGATGTTAGATCCGCTCGCATACTTGCAACACTTTAGTGTAGCGAGTATGCGAGCGGATCTAACATCCAATTTTAATTAGATTGGGGTAGTGTAAATTCTAAATTGCATGATAGCAGATGGTACCTGGCCCCAGGATCATGAAACATCTTAAGCTTAAGTCAAAATGTCACGTTGTACTAGTATTTTGATAAAGTCAAGTAGGCAAAAATTAAAATATTTTCTAATACTGCATTACAAAATTGTTATTATCTGCAAAATTAGAGATTCGTTCAATAATTAATTAACATTTTACAGGCGATTAAAATTTGACTTAAGTTTAAGTCTGTTTCATGATCCTTGGGCCTGGTATAGGGCGGGGCCACAATGGGTATTATTATACACCACGCAACAAGTTGCGGGAGGTATAATGCTTTTGACCCGTCCGTCAGTGTGTCAGTCCGTTTTTTTGTCAGTACAACTCCTGCCAAACCACTGCACAGAATTTTGTCAAACTTTCCAGATATTTAGGATACAGTGTGTAGATATGCATATTACCAGGAAATTCCGATTCCTTTATTTTTTCCAGGAATTTCGGCACTTTTCAACTTAGCTTTTTTGGCCATTTCTGAACAATTTGTCAGCACAACTCCCCATAAACCGCTGCACATATTTTTGTCAAATTTTGCAGATATTTAGGACACAATGTGAATATGTGCATATTACCAGGAGAAACCGATTCTTTTATTTTTTCCGGGAATTTCGACACTTCAACCTTTTTGGGAGCGTGGGGTATGTGAGCTTTCTCACCTTTTCTTTCATTATAATAGGTATAGGTATGCACCAGGGAAAAACTGGTGAAGAACAGCAGGGCTAAAGTTACTTAGGTGAACGTTGTGGTCCATAGGGCTCTTGTTATCCCATGTGAGTTTTTCGGAACGCATTTTGTTTGGTGTCTGTCTGTAAACTTTTCGAATTTTTAGTTCACCAGGGTAGTCGAAGGCTCGCGAGCTTTTGTGATCAAAATTTATCCGTTGTCGACATTGACATTGTAAACATTAAATTTACAATTTCTTCTTCCCAAGAACAATTTTGCCAATTTCAACCAGACTTCGGAAAAGGGGACTCAAGTCTATTCTTACAAATGAATGGTCATTCCCTCTTCCGAGGGTAGATAATGAAGGAAAATCCTCGGGAAGTCTCAGAATAAAATTAAAGAAAGTACGCTAGGCACCTAAAATCGTCCGTCTCAAAACACGATCTCCAAGATAGTGTGTTGTACGTCTTTTACACTTTCTTCTCCGTGATTAGTGAATATTTCTCAGAAATTAGTTTAACCAAACATGACACCTGGGAATAGGACTGTATATATGGTCTAAAACTAAGCTACTATATGCTGGTGCCCCCTCAATCCCTCAGTAAAACGCCTGCATGATGACCCTTTTCTTTGCTTGTCCAGGAATTTTTGGAAGTTGATAGTTCCCCAACCTCAAAATGTTTGGGTGCCCCCCTCTCCCCTCCCCAACCGAAATTGCTTCCAACGGGCCTGACGTGATTTAAGTTTTATATACGAAATCAGTTGATGAAGAACGGCAGGGCCATTTTGACGCAGGTGAGCACTATGTCACATGGGACTCCCTTTTTCAGTACCGATATACCGGCAAAATGCAAGGTCTTGGGATTTCTAAAAAAAAAAAAAGGAAATTTAAGAAGCCAGAGCCGTTTTCAATCGTTCCCTGAACGGTTGTTGTTATATGCAGAGGTGTATTATGATTATAGATACACACGTTTAATATATGGTCGCATTTCGCTGCAATCTGATTAAAATCAGATCCTCGATCCGCTCCTTTGTTTTTTTTTTAATTGTCGCTATACGACCTTGTGTAGCGACGATTAAAAAACAAAGGAGCGGATCGAGGATCTGAATTTAATCAGATTGCATTTCGCTGCATAACTGTCATTAAAGCAGTAAGAAGATTTTGTTTATCAGAGTTATATACTTTATAAACAATATGCTTACAAGATCATCTTAAGGTCAGACGACACCCCCCCCCCCCCCCTACTAAAAAAGATTATTTTTATGCCCCCGTAAATGAAGTTTCGGGGGTATATAGTTTTTGTCGTGTCTGCCCGTCTGTCTGTCTGTTTGTCTTTTTGTCCGCTAAAACTTAAACCTTGCCCATAACTTCTGATTTAGTGGAGCTATGACTTTCATATTTCATATGTGTATTCCTTATGACAAGACCTAAGGAATTTAAGAAAAAAGATTGGTGGCTAAAATCTGATAATCCACGTCTTCGCAGATTATCACTAAACCTATAGGCATATATCGTTAATGGACAGTCTAATTGATGTCATATACTTATCATTCCCACAGTATAGTAAATGTGTTACAACAATCCGAATCGTATGAGACACCATGATAAAGTACTTACGCAACATCGTTTCCGATACACTTAAAACATACAGTAACTACATGTATGTTATTTGAGCACACAATTCTGAATTCTTAACAAGAAGAAGAGGCGTTTGTGTAACACTGATGACCTCGCATGATTTTCAATTGCAATGGCAAAAGATCATTAACAGTGTTGTTTTCCAAATAAAAGACATGTATCAATAAATAGAAATTTGAAAGCCAAAGAACTATCTGTCTAAAAGTTATGACCAAAGTAAACGCTTTTGAAAAAATAGGTCAAAATCCAAGGTCAAGGTAAAAATTGTCGGTATTCAAAGGGAGTCTTCAAACAATAAATACATGTGCACCTGTGAAATCTAATGAATTGTTAAAAAGTTAAGCCAAAATTAAAGTGTTTTTTTTTTAAAGTAAAATGGAAGTTGAACAACCTCAGAAGTCCAAAGGTGAAGAATATTTTCCCAAGAAAAGGTTTCGCCACAATAAATAAACATGCAAAATTTACAAATGAAAACCCTAACAAAAAAAACTTTATGTCCTCGAATTTTCGATTTCGGTGGAAAACGCCGAGAAATGGCTTTTCTTTTGTTTTTCTTTATATACCTAGAAAATAGTATATATGTACCTGATTTGGTCAATGGATTCACATGTGTTACAACCTCCTTCATCCGTACGTGCACTGACGAATGTCGAGTTGATATGAACGTGTGGAAATGTAAGAAAAAATCTTATTTAAGGTGGAGAAGACAATCTTCTGATTTCTGAAATTTACAGATATTGTGATTAGAGTTTCACAACCTCTACAATTCAGACTCTCTGTGTTAGAGAGAGAGAGAGAGAGAGAGAGAGAGAGAGAGAGATCCTGACAAGTAGGTGAAAATGTGAAAATATATTCCACTCCAGGCAAAATGGACT